AAATTTAAAATTAAGTAACTACTACTATAACTAACTACTCTCTCTCTCTCTCTCTCTCTCTCTCTCTCTCTTCTGATTAGTAGACCTTTGTTCCACACCCTAGAGGATAACACACAATCACAAGAACCACTAAAACTGCATAAGAAGAATGCGATATATCATTTGATCATCCCACTGGATGCTAACTTTACAACTAAAGACAATGATCATGTTTAATATCATCCTAGACAAAGTTGGTTTCTAATACCATTTCCTTTTATTGCTTTTGTGAAGTAATTAATAATTAAAGCTGGTTTCTAATAAATAAAACTTACTCGTTCATTGTCTCGATTTACATGATCTTTTTCTTTTCTCCTTGTTTCATGATGGTAACAGGCAACAGTTACACAATCTTTGAGCATTCAAGGTTATTACCTCAGTTCTGCCTTGCAAGATGGGTCTTCCAATAAACATTTCTGCAAATACACAGCCAACACTCCACAAATCTACAGTTTCTTCATAGTCAGTTGAACCCAATAATAGTTCAGGTGGCCGGTACCATAGAGTCACAACACGGCCAGTTAATCGTTGTTTATGCCCATGACTGAAGAAATTTGCGAGACCAAAATCAGCGATTTTCAGAACCCCCTCATTGTTAACTAGAATATTTGCTCCCTTTATGTCACGATGAATTATACCACGCAAATGGCAATGCTCAAGTCCAGATAACATCTGTTGCATATAGCACTTGATCTGCAATTTAGGGACACAGAAAAACAATTTTCTGGTCAGAAGTGTTTACAAGTTTGAATATGTTATCCCAAGCAAATTGAAGGCACATTGTTCATACAGGCATTCAGAGAATATGTTCAAACCTGTGATTCAGAGAATTTAATGTCAGGAGAGGACGAAAGACCAGAAAGATCATGTTCCATATATTCAAATACAAGGTAGAGACTGCATGATAACTGAGAGGTAATCAAACCTTCCAGCTTCACAATATTTGGATGGTCAAGCCTTCGTAGTATCTTTATTTCCCTTGCCATGAACCTAACACTCTCTGGCTCAAAATTGTCAAAGCGGACCTTCTTCAAGGCAACAATCTTGCCAGTGTCGAGATCACGTGCTCTAAACACACTGCTATAAGTACCTTGTCCAATCTTCACATGCAGAAGACAATTAACATTAAACCAAATTAAGCCAGAAAATACTCATGCAGGAACCAACCAAGTTTTTTTAAAGAAAATTTAGCAAACTTAACTATCCAGAGCCAATATATGATCACTCAAACAACAAGCTGTTGTGAATTGGCTGAATGTCTCAAGATCTCCAAGCCGATGAATGCCTAATCTAAGTTTCTGATGTTTTTACCTGAAGCGCTCTTTGGTACAACGAGTATGATAGAGATAATAATGGCATAAACATTATCTAATAGAGCTTAGCACTTGATTAATAACAAACTTAATTATACTTATCACGTGTAAAAGTATTTAAAAGAAAATTGTCCTCAACAATTGAACCATATAGCAAAAGTAGCTAGACCATCTATCTATCTGAGTCAAATTAATATGGTACTTTCGTTAGGCCAATTTCTCAGTTAATTGGAAAACATGAAAGTGGTGCCTACAGGCTCCAACTCAGTTATAGGGAATGCAAGAAACATTTTCTCCTGGGATGGTAACAGTTATCACTGCAATTATATCATTCCTAAAATAAAAGATTTTCAGATTCCAAACAAAAACATGATACATAAGCTCAAATTGTGATAACCTAGAAGTTTGAAGGCCTGAGTTGAATGAAAGATTGAACCCCTTTGATGCATCTAATCTTAACTCAAGAAAGTTACATAACATCAAAGGATAACAAAACTCTGCTTGTGAGCAGAATTTAGCTTGTGAAGTAGAAAACTAGATGCAGAACCATCTAGTAATTCCCTGATGTTGGATCGCTAAAAGCTTCCTTTTTCTTTCACTTGACAAAATTGCTGATGTAACTTTGTTACTAGTATGAAGATTAAAAAAAATTTTGAATGTGTCAAAGGACAAGAACCTAAAGAATGGAAGTACAGGAGGGAATCTTTTAAGAAAGAAAACTATTCTATCAAAATGAGATTGAACAACTCTCAGAAGATCAAATTGGCTATGAGATTGAACATCTCACACACATGCATCCCCCACCAAAAAAATTAAAAAAGAAAAAAGAAAAAGCTATCCAGTATTTTTCTCCACAAAAAGCAAGAAGATGAAAACACCAACATTAAATAACATAAATGTTTGATTTAAAATAGTAAAATAGATAATCCTACAGGGAATATGGAACATTTAACAAAAAATACACTATATCTTGTCCTGAGCTTTAGTGACGAGATGAGGATAAATGAGAGACTGTGGCAAGAAACAAATGGAAGTTGCCAAATTAAGATACATGCGCTGGTCAATATTTGTTTCTTGAGGGTACGATACTAAAATTCCAAGCAAAAGCAATTTGTTATGGTATCACCTCATTGATCTAATTTGAAACCAGGTTGCAGAATCAAAGAAGCTATTATAATCCACTCATCAAGCAACAAAAAGAGAAGCAAATTGAGAGAAATTTTGGTCAAAAATAATATCAAAAGATAATTACATAGTTAAATGGCACAAATCTACATTAGTCATATCACGAAACAGACCACACAAGGTTCCTATGCAACACATTCTTTATTGCGCTACGAAGACAATGCTTATCGTCAGCCCAAAAACAAAAAACAAAAAAAAGAAAAGAAAATGATATGCAGATTTTTAGGCCGTCATGGATCTAAGAATTTACCTTCTCCAGCTTCTCAAAAGAGTCAGCTTTTAGGGGCACCCAACCGTGAATTGCTTCCCCAGCGACGACACTGAGCCAAGAGGGCCATCCGGCGGCAACCTGCTCCCCTTCTATGTGCTTGTGAAGGTTCCCCAGCCGAAAACTCTGTAATCTCGTACTATCGGAGTTCGGCTTCTCATATTCCTTCGATTCGAGGCTATCCAATTCCACCTTCCTCTCCGGATATCCCCGCTCGGTTCCCTGTCCGGTCTGATGCCGCAGCGAGCACGCCAAGATCGGTCCCGACCGCTCCCGGTGGTCACGTAGGAAACCGGAGGAATCGACCGCCGGGGTCACTGAGACCGCATTCTTCGACGAGACGCAACCCATCCCTGGCCGAGGCTATGGCATCGGCCAGGCCTCCGGGGGCAACAAAGGCCTGGGTTCAGGGAAATCGGGGGCTGAATTCGGGAGGGCAAGAAGCTCTTCGGACAGGGGAAAAGGGGGAGGGGGATCACCCGAAACCACGATGAGGCAAGATCGGGTGGCCCGGAGATCCAAAATGGCCGTAAGCACCCCTAGAAGCATAAAAAGGAGCGAGCTTTCTGCCCCCTCTTCTCCTAATTTCTCCACAAACTCTCTCGGAACACTTCTTTCTCGCGAGATTAGCGGGAGATGGGGAGATCTGGGGGACCTCGCGGTGGATGAGCAAAAGCGACCGACCGAAATCAACGCGGGAACGAGTGAGAGAGAAGTGTGGGAGATGGTGGAGAATTGTAGCCGTTATTCATCGGTCATCTCTCGCGGCTTCTTACGGTGCCCAATTAATTTGCAATCTCTGTTGACGCAACGGTGGGGATGGCAACGAGTCAAAAATGAGGGGGGAATTTGTCTTGCCTTTGACCGGTGGAGATTAATTACGACCTAATTAACATCTTTATCAGATCATGAGTTAATTATAAATTAATTTATAATTAATTATCTTTAACATCTCGATATTTTTATTTTTATTTTTTAAAATTATGTTCAATGATGTTTAAATGATAAACTTTATAATATTTTCGTCAGTAGAATCGATGAAAATTAAATATTTTATTTTTATAAATATAAAAATCTTAATATAAATTTTAAAAATATAAGAATCAAAATACTAAGAATAACTAATTATAATAGATAATATGTAATTCAATTTTTTTTATTTCATTAATATTTGGAGATCATATCATTTTAAAGTCATACATTTGGATTCAGTTTCACATGTCAAATGGGATTAATATAGATCCAATTCTTTTGATAATTTTTTTAGGATTAGTGTAAATCAATTAAAATCTCTATCAGAGAATGTGATCCGTGAGAACTGCCAGAGGCAGATCTTTTTCCACTGAATGTGGATCTCTCTCTCTCTCTCTCTCTCTCTCTCTCTCTCTCCTCTTTCTAAGATGGGGCTTGAGATGAGTTGGGGCCCACATTTGGTCACAAGCTTTGGTGGGACCAAGGCAACACAATTACTTTGGGTATCAACATTAAACAGGCTTAATTATGTTGAAAGTTTCATGAGGAGTCCATTCACTCTTTTGGAGTCAGTCCATTGTGGAGCCTCAAACAGGAGTTAGGTCATGAGGGTGATATTTCTGCTGCTTAACTTTCAAGGCAAGTATTGAAATTTGACAGAATATTTTTTTCTGAGATAAAAAAGTTGAAAATCATTGACTGCCTCCTGATTCATCAGTTTATGGCAGTCAGAATTAAAGAAGAATAGAACAGACTTGGTAATTCTCTTTGGGGTTTGCCAGATGTGTCCCCTTGTTTGATGTATTCTTTAGGTGAAGAACTAATCAAACCCTCCCATTGTTTCATCTGATAACAAGAACTCCTTTTTTTTTGTGCCATGGACAATCAGTACTCTTTATAAGAGGACAAAAGATTATATCTGGTCCAAACAAAAATGATAAAAAACTTTGGAAAGCAATGAGCATCATATTGTTTGCAATTTTAGTCTGTAAACAAAAAAACAGAGTACAGAGAAACAACAAAACAGAGAATAGAAAGGGTGCTTAAAGACTAACATGTTATTGCTTTAAGATATGTCTTAAGCTCTACCTTTGCATCTTCATGGATAGGCATCATTGTGGCCACCTATTACCCAACAGCTTCTTTTCATCATCATATCTTCTCCTTTTATTTAAGGAAAGGAAGAAGACACTCTTTTGTCATGTGAAACACTTTTAAGGCATCTCATTTGAGTGTTCACATATCTCTATGATTAAGAAGCATGGAGACATGCCTGTGGTTCTGAAATGAGATTTTAGAGTACAATAGAATTGGATCGATGGCTTCAAACATCCTCACAATACTAGGATGGACAGGACAAGTCATTGAAGTCCCATCTGTGTTCAACAATGTCCTTGGAGAAGCCAAATTCTCCTCATGGTCAGGTTTGGTCCTTTTCATCACATGTTGCATCTTTTATTTCTTTTTTTTCTTTTGTTGTCTTCTACTCTTTTGCTAGGTCCTCCAGGTTGTTTCAACTTTCAAGCACCACCAAGGTTGCTCTTTCATCAGAACTGGAGGATGTCATGCTTAGTACCACAATCAGTGTTATCCACAATGAGTTCTAGGCAAAACATATTAATAAACTTAACCCAAGAATATGATCAGAAAAGATCAGGTAAGTCATACTTGTAAAACTCAAAATTAACTGAAAATGAAAATGAAGATATATACTAGTAGAAAACTAGTGATAAGGGGATAAGGTTGGGTATAGCTCTATCTTTGTATAATTAAGTAATGTCATTATTCTATTCAAAGAGAAAAGAAAAAGAACCAGTGACTAAGGGGGAAAAGTCATATGAAGCTCTCATCTTAAAGGACTAATTAATGTCATTACTCTCTTCAAAAGGGAAAGACAGATAAAGGCCCCAAAGGGTAAAGTTTGACTGCAAAATAGTTTGCAGGATATGAGATGGAGATATTCATTCATTGGGAGGACCAACAACATAATCATTGTCCAACAACTGCAAAGCATGTAAACAATGGGCAAAGAACCTAATGGATGATGTTCCTTGTGGTGGTCAGTGTGTCCCATAAACAGGATATTTACTTCACAAAATATGTGCAGATTCCCTTCCTCAACATAAAGAATCAGATCATTGTCTCCACTGTTTCTGACTAGTCCTAAAAATAATGTCCCTCTTGTTGTGCACACTACCTTGCCCAAGTATATTTCAACCATTATCCTACTATTTTTACCAGAGTGCCATAAAGCTTGCAGAGTTGCATTGAGGGAGCATAAAACAATATAATCTCAAGAATTCAAGGTTAGGAAACTAACCTGAAATACAGTGGTAGAAATTATTACTCCATCCTTCTCTCTTCAGGAAAAGCTTATTCATGCCTACAGAGTTTTGCCTCCGGTATCACCTCGAATCGTGATTCATATTCATTCATCTTTACCAGAGGTTTCCTTTGATCAAGGAACTGAGCTTTGCTGCTTATGTTGGAGGATTTACACTGCAAGTTACAAGTGATCTTAGAAACATAAATTTATAGAACCAGGTTGATGACGACAGAGTACTGAATAAAACACTTAGAACCAAATACAAACGAACCAGAATGAGATGTCAAAGGAAAATACAAGTACCAGAAGTCTCTTCAACAATGCAGTCTGTCTTCCTGAAAGTAACTGTTCCCAAGATACGGATGCTATGGATGTAACAATTACAAATACTATACTCAATTAGCTTTAAAAATTAGTGACAGAGATAGTGCAGCATTACACACAAGCTTCCACTGCAAGAATTAGGACTTTAAAGGAAAATTAATGTACAACAATTTGCTTCTTTTTATGTTGCACAAAAGATATACAACAGTGGATGTCAATTCCTTGAGCAGGAACCAAAAGAAATGCACAATTAAGCAATAATCATCAAGGGTGGACATGAGTGGGTACATAAATAGCACAAAAGAAAAAAAGTAAGAGCTAGGTCACATAAAGTTACATAAGAACCTGATAAGCACAATGTAGGTGTGCTGCTGAACTTACTTTTAAGCCATCGTGACCAAGAAATGCAGCACAATACAGTGTGAGCTTTGCTCCATAAATTAAGATCATAACAGCAAAAGCTAAAGAAACTAGGTGTTCTCGTGTTCTTTCTTCAAGGTGGACAATTGCAGCTTCATAGACACAAGGGAAACTTGATCAGATCATGCATTTTTGAAAGCAGCACCAGAAGTTACTGTGTCATGGCTGCTTTTTCTAGCAGCTGGCACATCATGGTTATGTTTTCCCTCATATGTTGTTATTACAGCCTTGGGATCTGTTGGTGATCTCTCAATATGCTTCCTGACATTGCATCCTGCAAAAGTGCACTTATAATAGCTCCTGCATTGAAATAAGAAGTATTAAACTATATGAAGGCCTTGCAGATAGTCATTTTAAAAATGCTTGAGCAACAGTTTCAAATCTTATGAGGCAAGCAACAACTAATTTAACAGACAAAAATAGCAACATCGAGGCAAGACACTATTGAACATAATGACCGAAAACAAATTAGGAGATCCAAATTGAAACTTGCTATCAGACAAAGTATCATCCTAGGAATGTATGAACATGTGGTATGTTGACCCACGCTAGAGATGTTGATTTCTAGATAGGACAACTTTTGGCCTATGTGGCAGAAAGGTATCAGCATGTCCCCTGTGCTGTAAGACATTTAATCTCAGACCTAGGAGATAAAAAACCTAGAAACTACAAGTGCTTTATGCCTTAGTATCTATAGTTTAAAGGAAAAACAAAAAATTTACAGTGCCAATATGAACTAGTGTGCTAGAACATATCATGTGGAGTTTACTTTCATCTTCCATAATTCCGATATTTATATTGATTCTCTTGAACACATAGAAAGCAAAATTTATTGATATGGGTGGTGCTTCTAAATCATAAATTAAACCAAAACATGTAGTGTGCCTAAATGTTGTTCATTTTCATTTCGTGCACTTTTTATTTGGTTGATGTATGGGTAAGAGACCATCAGAGACATAATTATTTATTTTGAGGAATTTTAATAAATTTATCTAGTCTCTGAACTCATGAGTTCTTAATATAAATTTTAGTCATATATGTTAGAGCAATGACTATCATTTGAGCAACACCGACCCTTATCAGCCAGCATGGTGAACATGGAATCAGCACTGGTACTTCCCTCATTGAATCAATATCTTTGGCAAGACCCTTTATAAGGTCTTGTCTTCTTTTTCCAGTGTCTAATACAAATATACATATCTCATACAGTCCCCATGATAGAGGTAAGTAGTCTATTTTATTTGTTCTTTTGGCTTTTTACTGGCAACACAAATGTCTGCAAAACACAGGCTAATAGCAGTCATGGTGCCAGAAGCCATATGGTATAGTGGTGGACTGCAGCTAGTGCAACTATAGGAGCTATGTCTTCATCCTCCTGCAAGGAAACTGGAATATAAATAACTTCAATATGGGAAAAAATCAAATCGATGGATAAAATACCTCAGATCTCCTAAGTTTCTCATCTGCTTTCAACTTAATTTAGACCATTTTTGTGACTTTGGTGGTTCAGTAACTTGAGGCCAATCTCAATACAATGGTATGTTTGCTCCTTTGCAACATGAAAGATCAGATTTCGAGTCATGGAAACCACCTGTCTATCTTTAGTGGCAAGACCCTTACCAGACCCAATAATGAGAGAGCCTCATGCACTGCACGAGTACACTCTTTTTGTTTTTGGTGGTTTTGTAACTTTTGT